AAGAGTCCTGCTGTACCTATATCTGTTTACCACACTCTATCTCCCTACATACATTCAACCATCAGATAAAAATAGCAGAGAAACTAAAGATATTTTATGCCACTGACTTGATGGGGACAGAATTTAATTTTTTGCACCTTTCCTAGACAGCAGATACATCAACACACTGTGTGTTTGTCCTCCAAGTAAATAGCAAAATTAAAAATTCCTAGACAAGTCACCTAGAGTAGAGCCTACCAGGTATATTCTTCATGGCAGATATGCAACAGATCAAGCAACATCCAGGCACTGTATTATGCATCTGAAGATGCTAAAGTAGACAGGGGCATCATGCTAAACAACATTTCCTGTTACAATTCAAACATTCACAGTGATTAGAGAAGGAATACTGATGGCTTCCCAAGTTTTAGGCTATCTTTATGGTGTAAGCAGTTCACACTTTTTACTCTCATTAAGCATTCTTAGATCTTGGCCTGTAACATTGTCTAGATATGAAGAAGGCACTCTACTTGCTAATGAAACTGAGAAATTCATTTTGTCATTTAATGAGTCATATCTATTTTATTTATAATGCCTAAAGAGTAATGAGACATCTTCTTTGGATTAAACAGATCTGTAAACTGCTATGTAGAACTCTGGTGAATTTGATTTGTGAAGGAAATGAAGGTTTCTCTTTTTCATGACTTAAACAAGAACCCTTCCAAGAGGCTCTTAAAGAGGAGAGGTGGCAGGCAGCCTCCTCACAAGTGATGACAGCAGCCCCTAAATCAAGTGTCACAGAGCTTCAAACCCTAAGGAGTCATCAGTCATGCTTGCAGGAGGGGAAGGAGCAGCCTCCTTCCTTGAGATCAATGAGGCAAACACAGAATACTCCTTCTGCACTCCTAAGGATGATTGATGACTCCTTAGCAGCTGAAGTGTGTGACATTTGATTTCACTCACTGATAAGATTGTGTCTTCCAAACACCTTCTAGTTAATGTTTCCAGGGCCCCCACATAACTGTTCTTTGTGACATTTTTTAACACAAAGCTCAATTGTTGAATGATTAATGAATTTCTCAACAACATATGAAAATTCTGTAAGAGAATTTTGTAACTGTTTCCCTTGATAGTCTGATCACAACACAAAACAGGAATCTAGGTTCCTTATGAAAAATAAAGGGAGATCTCCTGCCCCTGCCACTGTCAAATGACACTTGTAGGATAAACAACCCTAAAAAAGAACTGTCTTTTTTCCTGAAGATATTAAAATATACACTTGACGCCTGCTTTTCAGAAAATCTAATGCATTGATTGATATCGATTAAAAATATTTTCCAAAATTTTAATAAGCAGTTTTCCACAAGGTTATCACTTTTAACAGACTTGAAATGAGCTTTATGGCTTTCTTATTTTTCTTACAACACCATATTCTTATCCAGTTATGTCCTATTTTGAAATTATGCAATCAGCATGATTTGAAACTATGCTTTCTAACTACAAGGTACACTTGCTTATATGTTGTAAAGCATGCCTGCTTTATATTGCATCCCGTTGTATCACAGGCCACGTTACATATCTTTTAAAGTATCACTTAAATCTCACAGCACTATTTACATTTATTTTTTGGTTTTGCTCTTTTTTTTTATTTTTAAGAGTGGTATTGAATCAAATGCTTTAAGCAGGTGTATTTTTAACTCACTTATGAAGTGAAGAACATTTTTTGATTCTGATTTTCTAAGTGCCATGTTTGGCTGGATTCTGCTCAATGCCTTTGGAAATTTTAGCATTTTACAAAAAAAATCATGAGGTTTTGATAAATACAAGGACCAGGCAATTCAGAAGTCTGTCAGGAAATCCATTCAAAAGGAGAGAAACTGTTCTGGTTGTCAATCATATCTTGCTTAAGTTTGTTTGTCAAAAAGCATACTGGCAAACACAGGAAGAAAGCTGCAGTACAATTCAGAAAAAGATGGTAACTGTGGCTCACTCAGCCCTTCAGAATGAATGACTGGAACAGAACGGCAGCACTGTCAAAGAAAAACGCTCCACGTAACCTTCATCATTTTGCCAAAACCAGCCCACCAGAAGAAATCAAAGAGAAATTCCAAGTGCGGACTTGCCAAATGAATCTTTCATCTAAATTTTGAAACAAAGACATTGCTCTTGCCAAACATTGCTAAGCTTTGCTGAAGCTTCACATGAAAAATCAAGAGCTCTGACTATTTGGAATTCAAATTCAACGTAAAACTTGGGCTTATTCCCAATTAATGCAAATGAGACACTGCACACTGCTTGACGGTCTTTAAATTAAAAATGATCCTGAAATAGAACTGTGCCAAATTAAGTCAGTAATGATGAAATTATAAAAAAATTCTATTATGAACTGTCCTGGCACTTAAAGACATGATGAAGTCTCCATAACACTCAGAAACCTTGTTATTATGAAAACACTCTTTTTAAGTCAGCATCTTTTTTCTAAAATATTACACTCACAAGGAATTTAAAATACTCTCTTTTAAGGGCATATAAAATTAAAAAATATATTTATGTTGAAAAACACATTTTAAAAAAAACTATTACCATAATGATAAATTTCTAATGGTGATATACTTTCCTGTCATATACTAAAAAAAAAGGAAAAAAGACATTTTGGACAGAAATGTTTAATTTATAATATAACCTTATTATATTTATTTATATTTTTCTTCAGCAAATAAAAAAGGGGCTTGTTTTCCAATTGAAACTGTAGTATGTCAAATACTTGTGCATATTCTATGAATACTCTCCAGCTTGAGGATCACATTTCAAGTCCCCCCTAAAAGAACTTGTACTTTAAGAGTATATGTACATTTTTTAAGGGTACGTTTACTCAACTATTAGCCACGGTTCCACCAGAAAGAGATTCTTTATGTGGTAACTGATAATTCCCAAATTCCTTTCCCTACCACATTCATTAGAAAACAAGAAAGTTAAATTCTTCAAGGAAAATTATGCCCTGAAACAGCCAGAAAGGTTTAACTTAAAACTCAATTCATACATAGATATGGGTTTGAGCATCGCTTTTCCCTTCTCTCTTGTTACTCTTCAACACAGTTAACCCCTTAAATTAACTGGGATAAATATTTAAACAGCATTTTTTCATTAGAACAACTGATCAGCTGGAAGAGAGACATCTCACTGGTGTGTTCTCTGAAAGCACTGAGCACTTGTGCTCAGAAATACCTACTAGACTTCAAATAACCTATAGGGAAGAGGGCATTTATGAATACATAAACTGGGAGAATTCATGATGGAAGGGCATGGATGATGGAAGGGAATACATGGAAGGGAGATGCAGGATGGGAGATGCAGGATGGGTGGGAAGAGAGGCTTAGCCTCTCCTTGCTAAATATGTGCAAGTACCCAGATTGTCTGTGTAACACATAAATGCAGAGAAACACAAACATTTCCCAGAAACAGCTGAGGTGCACAAAAAGAGAAGAAACCAGAGAAGACTCTTGGAAATCTGCCTGATTTCCTGTGAGCACACAGGCCACATGCTTGGCAAACCTCACAGGGAAACCCAGCTTGCATCCCTGTGACTCTCAAGCAGTCTCCCTCTGGGAATGAGGGACTGTTTCTTGAAACGACAGCAAATTTCCCAATCTGTACTCATGAGATGACCAGGCTGTTTTGAACTGGAACTCCTTTCTTTGTCCAAAAATTTCAAAAATCAGGGACATGTTTCTGACCCAGAACACATCTTCAACTACTAAGATTTATCATTAAATGGTCCACCCTTCACCACTCACTTCTATTGTTTAGAAAATTTCAATTCTGGCATTCTCTAAATTCTAAATGCTTAACTTTGAAACCTATAAAAGGATTATGTGTTTAGAAAATTTGAAATTCTGCAGTCTTACAGATTTCTTAAATGTTCTTATTATTCTTAGAATAACTGTCTATTTGAAACAAAGCAATAATGTTAAACTAAGAGTTTGAAATCTTTCCACCTATATATTATAACTAAAAAAAAGGATTGTAGGTTTTCATCCTCCATTTGGATCCATTCGTAAAGAAGTGCTCCTCTTATTGTTCTCACTTATATTTACTGAAAATGGAATGTCCCAAATGAATTCCATTTTAGAATCACATTGAGAGCATGCTCTAATTCACACAGATAGGATTTTTTTCTTCACTTTTCCTGACCTCACCAATAAGTTTCCCCGCATTCTTGCAGTTTTCCCAAGTCCTTCTCCTTATCCAGTGAAACCAATCTGAAATCCAAGAATTTTAATTCAAGAAAATGAGGTGGGACCACACCACTTGTCTATCACATTGTCCACTTCCTCGCAGGACCTAAAATCCTCCAGATTTCAGATTTTCTCGGTAATGAACATTCAATTTCAAATCCATGCCTTTCCTTAAAATGATCAGTCACTACCACATCCTCCTCAGGTCTATGAAGTATCTTTTTGGCTTATCAGTAAATCTTCTCTAAACTCAGTCTAAATTCAAACACATTCAGAGATCTTCCAGACATTTTGGTTCATCAGAACTGTTGCATGTCTCCCACGAATCTTTTCAGTTTTTGATGTGGCTTAAACCCAGACTATTTGTCCATTATCAGGCCAACAATGGGTCATCACCCTAACTCATAGTTTCCCTGACTCACCTTTTCAAGTTTCCCTTTAAGTCTTCCCAAGATATGCTGCTGTCTAAAAAGTAGTCTAAATTTCCACCTAAGGGTTTCAATTTTCTTGTCTCTCTGCTACAAGGTTTACACTCCCCACTCTGCCATTATGTTACCTCTTGTCCTTCTGACAGACTGAAGGAACATGGGAAAGTTTGCAGATCATAAAAATAAAAGACTCTAAAAAGGAATTGGCACATTCCAAATTACAAATGAAGTCTTAAAAGTCTCTTTTGCTAGAAACTGTAGGTTATACTCTAAATTAGAAAAAAAAAAGAAAAGGTAAAAGAAAAAAGGAATTAAATTCATGTTCAAAACACAGAATAGACAGCTATTATTTGCTCACCTGAAATATTTGTTTCAAGGAAAAAAGTGCCCGTCTCAGTTCCCGTCCATTGGAATTGTAAAGTTTTTCTGGGAAAATAAAATAAGACAAGAGAAAAAACTTCAGCATAAACAAAACTGACAACACAGCAAGAATGTAGTACAGCTTTTAACAGAACCATAGCACCCACTTCCCATGAGGCAGACTTTTTAAAATACAGATATAGGACTTATTCATTAAATGTGCATGTAAACCAGGATTTAGTTGTCTATAACTTAAAATTTCCAGGTAAATTGACAATAGCTTCAACAAGATCAGTGAGAAACAATTCTCTCTGGAGTTTTTTGAAAATACTTAGAAATACTGTTCTTTCTGCATTAAGGTAAATTTAGGGTTTACTCAAAGTACCAGATTAATCTCAAAAGACTTGTCTGAGAACACTCTTTGCCTTTGTTATCAAAGCTAGAGCCACTGAATCCCATCCTTGACTGCCTTCCCTCTAGACATTCTTTTCTCATGTTCTCATCTTTCTATTGTTAAATCCTTTCTCCAATAGCAATGAACGTTAATACCAGAAATAGTCGGACAGTCTGTTCTTAGCATAATTCAAAACAGTGTTTTATTCTCCTGAAAACTGATCTTGACCTTTTTCTAAATGAACCAGAAGCCTTCTTTTCATCATCCAATACTGAAATGTATTACTTCATTTATTCCCCTGCTAAAGCATTCTCACAGAAATAATTTAAAGACAAAAGCAACTCTGCAACTCTGCTATCCTTCTGAACCCTACTACAATGTTTGTACCTTTGTAAGAGGTCTTAGACCGTGCCTCTCAAGTCTGTTGTTGCAAATTTGTGACTGCGCAGGGATAGAGCAGAAGGTGAGCTCTTCAAACCTTCCTGGTCTACTACGTTTGGTGTATTTAATAGAAAGGGACTTTATGCACATCTACAGTCCTAAATTTAATTTTATTACACTACTGCAATATAAGGACAACGACAGGAAAATCAAATATTCATGGTCACCTCAGATGACTCACATGCCTCATCCACAAATCATCATGAGAGCACCCTCTCTGCAATTGACAGAGTAGTGGCCTGTAGTGGCCAGCAGGTCCTGGAATGCCCATAAAAAAATAATCTTATAAGAAACTTTAATATTTTAATTAAAAAAATTATTTAAATAAAACAAGCCCAAACATTTTATTTCTTAATTTTCCTTGTCTATTTCTCTTTCAGTTATAACTTTACACCACAAAACCAAATTTGATTTTATTTTCCTCTGTCAGGAATTTGCAAAAAAGGGACTAGCATTTGAGGATTCAATGCATTTATAACTCAGTGATCATTTTTTACTTCAGTCAAGGAAGGTGGGGTCTAATTCTAGAAAAAAAACCATTTCTTATTCCAACAGTTATCTTCAACCAAAGGAAAAATGCAAAGTAAAATGTTATCAGAACTAACACTATTTTTTTTCAACTTTGAAAGTAGTTTTGTTCCTCCCTAATTGTATCTGATTTCAAAGGCAGAAGGTACAGAACTGGCAAAACTATTGTTTTTATAAGTCATCTCCTTTCTTGCACTTTTTATAGATTCTTGACAAAACATTGGAGGAACTGATTTCACTTGAAGCCATAAACTTAGAGGCACACTTTAATTACTCTCACTTAAAAACGCATTGGCATGTGGGACCACATTTCTTGGCAGGATAAAGGGTAATTTTGTCAGGAAAGCCTAAAGAATAATAAAGATCTTCTAAGACCCGGTCTGTCAACTTTACATGCCACATTACACAAAATATTCCTTTTTGAAAGTTACCTCCATCTGGCATTTGTTATTACTAATTTCCCTCTATTCATAATTCACCAGGATCATTATGAGCAGAATGTCTCCAAACAAGGCAGTGCATTATCATCTTAATTAAGAGAGGCACCACTTCTTAAAGTCCTGGCAACTTTGTACATAAATATCAATGTCCTAACAAATGCCATCTGTTGGTCTTGGTCTTAAACAGAAATCATCATTGCAGCCTGGGGTGAAGTCCTAACAAACCATTGTTATGATACCATAACACTGGTTGTTTCATTGGTGCGTGAAGATTTTTGGTACATCTCAGAGAAACAATGCTGAACATTTTTTCTCCTTGGTGTTTTCACAGAGCATAACCTCATCCTTGGCAGTCAGCGCAAACAACGCTCTCCCTGCTCGCCTGTAACAAGGAGGACAGAAGTTACTGACTGCAGCTCAAAAAGGGGTCTATTGTTAGAGCTAAGAATCAACAATTACTGCAAGTATCAAGTTTGACAACAGTTGTGGCACATGTCACAAATGTCTGAGGTGGGTTGAAAATCCATCTGAGGGGTGACAGTCCAGGTAAGTCATCTCACTTTTGACATCTTCTACCAGAGACAATACACACTCGCAGGTACCTCCTGATACACAGCTGATCTTGTTTAATCAGCTCAAAGTCCACAGCATCTTCACCTGTTACTCTTACACACAGGCAACACACTTTCTGCATAAGTCTTGACACCCACTTCTTACAGTACTGGCAGCCACCAGAAACATTCACTGACCATAACCCAAGGAGGAAAGTGATGAGGCTTTGCTACATCAGAAGATGTTTTGTTTTAGAAAACCTCAGTTCAGGATGAAGCTCACACAAGGTAAGAAAGCCTGAGTAAGCCAAGGTACTGCATGGACCCTTAAAAAAGCTTGTACTTTTACTGTGTGTGCTGTTTCTCAGACTACAGCTGGGGGACACTTGCTAAGATGCTCTCAAAGCCTTAGAGAATTCCCACTTGTTAACAGTAACTTTAGCACCCCAGGGACCTCAGGCTCATCCCGAAAGCTCCAGACTGCAAGTGAAGTGACAAAAATGCATCAGCAGAAACTGAAAGGCAAAAATCAGTTCTGAGCTATTTTCCTATGGTAGAAAAACAAAATTAAAATAAAAGAGAGAGAGAGAGAGAGAGAGAGAGAGAGAGACAAAAAGGCACATGTACTTACAAAGTTTTCACACTGCACATGATTCAGAAACTAGACAGCAAATGCTTTTTAATGCTTGTTTGAGATAAGCAGTTTAAAGTGTTGCCCTATGAAGCAGACTGGGAACTAACTTTCCATGTTGAAGTACAGAGGTGACTAATTCCCATAGTCCTCCCTGGCAGAGTTGTCTGTAACTAAAAGAAATGATGCCTACAACTTTGAAACAGGAATCTAGCCTGCTACTATCACCAAACCCAGAAAATTCTGAGTGCTCCAAGGACAGTCCAAAAGACTCATAATTTCACTGCTTTGTTATTAGGTGCCAGATAAGCTTGAATATGTATACCAAGACTGCTTTACACCAAAAAACAAACCTCTGAATTTCAAGCAGGAACATGTACTGCTACACCTCTCCGTGAAACTTCTCTGGCCCTTTGGTAAAACACACTTCCTTGTCCTTCTCCAGGCCAGGTTTAGGCTGGAGACATTCTACATTCATATATTTCAAGGTCAGTGAAAAAAAAAGAAGATCAGTGAGTTTGTTGGTCAGAGAGTTTGTGATATCTGACACATAGACTTCATCTACCTATTAATGATGGTAGCTTTGACAGCTATGTTCCTGGTAAGTGACACTATTGCAGCCACTTTTACTGCTTTTCTTCGAGAAATAAAGAGCTGCATCCGCAGCTGAGAAATAATTTTAATTGCATATACACAGACGGCAGAAAATTCTCCTTGCAGTTCCCTCTGATGTAAACTAACGCTAGAGGGCACTGCTTATTTCCTTATTTTATGAAAGAAAAGGTGCTCTGTCCCTCCATGGGCTTCCCACTGATAGAGCAATGCTGTTTGGGATGCAGAGTTGGTACTCCATTAACTTTGAAGCCCTGTTTTTAATCTTTAGACTGTTTTTAATCTTGAGACTGCAATATATCCTATGAAATCGAAAAGCACCAGTGCTGCCAATTTCAAACATTCAAAATCAGGATCAACTCTTTTGAAACTAATAGAAAACCAGGTACTGGTATGGGCCTGAGCTTTATTTACTGCAAGAACCAAGAGTCACATTTATTAAATTATCCTTCACATCATAGTAGGGAGGTATCCTTGAAAGCCAGAGAGATTCCCTTAGCTCAGGAGCTGTTCTAGTGGCAGAGAATCACAAATAACCAGATTTGTGGTAGAGACAGACGTGTGACAGGTAGCAACCTGAAAGTGGCTATTTTGGTTGCTGTTGCAACCTGCAACAGCAGAACTTTGGTTAAGAGAAGCCTTTATGCTCTAAAATAAAAATATTATTTATTACTCGTATTTCTTCTCTTGTTTTTACTTTTGTGAAAAACAACCCAGGCTAAGTGAAAAAGGATTCCTATTGGTGAAACTGGTACAAATGTAGCAGTGGAGGGAAGGCAGTTTGGTTTGAAATCAACATCTTTTCAGAAAGGAAGAGAAGTCTTTAAAGATATTTTATCAGACAACTTGCAGCTTTCAAACAGATTCTATATTTTCAAAGATAATTGTCAGAGGCTCAGATTTCATTGGTTTTCACCTCTTTTGACTATGTGGGAAAAGGGGCTTTTAAAAGAAAATAGTAATTTGTTCTTATATTCTTAAATAAAGTATTGACTTTTCTTCTGCCTTCTATGGGGAAAAAAAAAAAAAGAGTGTTTTCAATCCACAGTAATAAAAGAAAAAGTGGAACTGGCTGAACATTGCTTGGTTCAGTCCCACGTGTTATACCTGACCTCTGACCGACAGGGTACCATCCTCCTCCCTTCCTCTTCCATCACACCCATTGAATTAGTCCCTGGGATATAGTAATTTATACAGCATCAGCCTTTTGAGCTGTTGGCAAAGGCTTGTGAACATCTGGCTGAGCACAAATGGGAGTTGCTCTGCTTCACTTGCTGCTGCCTGAATGACCTCCATGTCTCCCATCCATGCCTCTTTTCTTTAAACTATAATTTCAAGATGAAGCTGCTTTCCTTACAAAAACATAAAAGGGAGATTAACTCCACATTTGATTACATTAGCAGGATACCTGGTGCAGATCCACTTAAATGACATTTGAAACATTTCCTGCCATTCATTGTTACCTGGCA